GTGGTGGTGGTGGTGGTGGTGGTGGTGGTGGTAGTGTGGCAAATTGAGGCGCATTTGTGTGTTTTATTTTACTACCAGTAGGATACTAGTCTTTCTCTGTCTGCCAGTGTGTGTATAAATGGTATTATACTTTTCCTGTTATCATTTGAGCCTCCCAGTGGGATAGCCAGGGAAAACCAGCAAAAAAGTATTCTCTTCCTCCTCCTCCTCTTCTTCTTTCCCAATTGACTTTCAATGGGCAGTTTACTGGTTACTAGCCCACAACTAAGGGGTTTTTTGAAACTTTTACTTTCCCACTGGCATAGGTTCGATAAAATCAACAAAAACTTTTTCTTAAAAACTGCTTCGGCTTTTAATTTTTAAATTATTAAAATAAAAAACTGAACTCTATTCCCACAATTTTACTGTGAGAATTTTTGCTGCTGTGTTTGTTCCTTGCAGTGCTCATTCACTCTCACTGGATCAAAGGGTAATCCACGAAAATGGAAAACTTTGTCAACTGTGACTGTGATGTTTGGGAAATGGCAAAGTTTGGCGGCCATTGGTGGAATCAGTGGCGGAGGAATGAGGAAGAGAATGTGCGGCAAACATGAGCACATTAGAAATGGAAAGGATGCTGTTGCTGAAGTGCACACTTTAATCCTCCAACCGCTGCCCGGGCTCAGAGCAGAGCAGTGTAATCACCACATTTTTGAAATTGAGGTGAAAACTTGCCCATTTGGCAGCTAGCACTCTTTCTCCCACACTGATTTGCCGCAGTGTGTCTTGTGTGTATTGCGTGTTACCCCGCAGTAAGTAGTACCCTGCAGGAAACAGAAGACTGCAAGAAGCCAATAAATCTGCTAGATTCGAGGGCAAAAAGGGCTGCAAAGTGGGAGGCTAATTTGATAAAGGAGAGAGAGGGAGGGAGGGAAAAGGGCAGACAAAAACTGATCAGTCAGCGAAAACTCGGCAGCAGAAGCTGATGACATTCTCCAGATGACCATGGTGAAAGAAGGGCAAATTGATTTGTGAGCTAGTTCCATTTTCTTAATCAATAAAATACTCTCCATTCTCTAGACATATCAGTTGACGTTTGAATTGAATTGAGAGTCACACGAGGCAGCAAACAGATAAACACAGAGGACATTTCTCAAAGTGGTCCCTTCCCTTCTTGTGTCAGTTGAGTGAGAGATAAACCAAAAGAGTAATGAGCAGTCCGCCATTGCTGCCGCTGCTGCTGTCTGCACCGGACAATGTGCGCAATCATTTGAAAAGTGATGAACATTTCTACTCTTCTATTCGTTTATCCGTCTGCATTCGAACAACTGGACGGGGCCGAATATCTGTGAGCCAGCCGTTTCACTTTGCCGTTCAGTGGTGCATCAACGAAGCCCAGCGTAAGTAGATTATCGTCCGCTTCTCTCCCACTTTATCTTCTCCAGCACCAGCAGCAGCAGCAGCATCTGCTTGACTCGGCTCGGCTTTTCATCCACTGCCCGCTGCTGTCTACGATTAATTATGCAATTACATTACGGTGTACTTGTGTGTCTTTGTGTCTGTGTGTATGCTCCACTTAATTGCACCAACAATAAAGAGATGGAGGAATAGAGGAATAGAGGCCACATTTGAAAACGATGCTCCAAACACAGACTCACATATCCAATTTGCGCTTCAATTATTACACATTTTAAAACACACAAATGGAAAGGAAGAAAACTATCAGCTTGCCTTACTAGTTTTAAAGTGGAAGAGGGTAGAATAAGTCGAGGAAAACGGAGGGAGAGTTGAAGTGCTTGTCATTAGGGCAGTGAAAGAGAGCGAGATGGTCGTTAGAGAGAGAGGGAAGTGTCTAATTAAAGCAGAAATGGCAGTGCCAGAAGTGGGACCCTTGTCGTAATCCTCCTCAGGGAGAAATAAGCGGAAAATTGTGCAAATGGAATACTCGACTTTAGTAGGCCGTAATTTGCCATATTGTTTATGAGTTTGTATGCGGGCCCCTGCTCTGTTATCGTTGGAGAATTAATACTTGGCAACATTTAAAAATCCGTTTGCAGATTGGAAAAAGTTGATGAAAAGCGAGTGCGGGGCGTATGGATCACATTTTTAATGTTAACGAAGAATTAATTCACTCTACAGAAGCAATAGTGTGTAGAAGTGTAAGCGATGATGTTTCAAATCTGCTGCTGATAATGGATAGGGAGGGAGGGAAGGTTAGAGACTGCTTGATCTTTTGGCGCCTGACGCAAGTGAGAAGTGGGGAGGGTGGGTGGTGCAGCTCAATAGCCAACGCCAGCAACTGTTGAGGCCTTTTATGAGTGTAATGCCAAGCGGAAAATGTCATGCTCAAGGAAGAATGAGCCGTCTGCAGTTTTGAGAACAAATGTCTGGTTAAAGGTGTGCGGCGGATCATCGTCTGTCTTCAGCTGGCCGAGCACCGAGATGATGACGCCGCCGTCAAAGGTCGGTTGAGCGTCCACTGTGGTGATCACGTGCAGAATCTTCTGAAAGGTCAGTCCTTGAAACTTCTCCAGAATCTTTGCACGGCCGAGCAGCTGGACGCCCTCAAAGGTCATCAAAGACTGAGTCTCCTGTATGGTGTAAAGAAAAATGCATCAGTATGGGCTGACCGGTATTTTAAGAAGCGACTGGCAATTACCGAGTAAAAGTTGGCCACCTGCAGGCGGGTGTCATTGTTGTCCAGCATTGCGTAGTACTGCTGGACAAAAGACTTTCCGATAGCTTCATAGTTAGGATTGAGAGTCATCTTGTCGGTCAGAACTAGGATAGATGGTGGAGAAGATAACACAAAATGTAATTATTAACTCAAAACTGTCATCCAAAACACCCGACGCCATGCAGCTGAACTCACCCAATTGACAAGCGTTGCTGATGTCGGTACTTTGGTACTTTGACTTTTGTTTATTTGAATCTTCAGCGTCCACTGACACTCTAATGTTGATGATCGTCTGCAGCGACGAAGATGATGGTGATGTCTCTTTGTGTTATTGTGCTGTCTCGCACTCTCTAACGGCGTGCAGAAAAAATGATTCCAGAAAAAAATGATGCACTGACAGCCCTTTCACAGAAGACGTACTGTTCAAAAATTCAAAAGTCATCTTTTCAGCTTTTTTATCAATCAAATCTAAAAGGAGATAACAGATTTCATTTGGAGTAAAGCGTGATTTAAGTACTCTGAAAACTCTTTTGCAACATTCTCCTCGGTGTTCTTCTGGCAACTGATCGTCCAGTCGATGCACTCACTTCCCAGAAACTGATAGCAACAGGCAAAGCCGCCGGGGACGAGTGGCCCACTTGCTTCGACTACTCCCAAAGACTGATCTAGCACCTCAGGAATAGATATGCTAATAGAAACCAGTGGATGATTGAGTTTTCGAATAATGTTGTTGCGTAGGAGTGATTTGGAAAAAAGATCCACCGTCTTTTGTGATAGATTCTTGCCCTCCCCCTCTCTGATCAGCATCTTGTAAATGTGGAGAATATTCTCAATATCGTATCCACGCTCTGCCAGCTGCAGGTGAAAGAGCCAGGATTCTAAAGCAAGTCGAAGCTTCTCCTCGTCAGAGGAATCCTCATAGAAGTCAATCATCTCCGATGTGATGCCCTTGTACACAGCTGCAGAAGACTCTGACGCTGCTGATGATTTGCTCAGTTGACGGTAGTTCCGATAGGCGAGTCCCACAGCAGTGTGAGCCCAGGCATCAGTTTGGCAGTTGACGCTCTTGATGAACGCAGTACCGTATTGCCGAAAAGTGAATCGGCTCAGGTGGAAAGAGTTGGCCAGCTGGGCGTACTTCTTCAAGGCAAAATCATTGGCTGCAGAGGTGATCAAGTCTCGCTTTCCTGACGTGATGAGATCAAGCTTTTGCAGCTTAATCAGCAGCTGATTTTGATCTGTTGACTGTACTTCAGGCTGAATTTCAATCGGCTAATCAAAGGTGAGCAATTGTTAAATAAGNTGACGTGATGAGATCAAGCTTTTGCAGCTTAATCAGCAGCTGATTTTGATCTGTTGACTGTACTTCAGGCTGAATTTCGATCGGCTAATCAAAGGTGAGCAATTGTTAGATAAACTGGTGAAAATAGAAAGATGACAGTATTTACTTTGAACTTAGTGAGGTACTCCACTCCGTGCTGCATCAAATCAGCGACTGAATCAGGGCTGGCCAAAGACTTTTCATAGCAGATGCCACTGCCTAGAATGCTGGAACTGTCACCACTGAGCACTAAAATCAGCTGAAGTGCTTTGTCGAACCATCGATTACCGACGTTCTCACAATCTCCAATGAGGATGTGCTTTACCAACCGCTCAGCATCACAACTGTTCGCCTGTCCGTCAAGGTGGTCGAGGTTGATGAGAAACTGCGCCTCTTGAAGGCGCTTCAGGGCTGTCTCGTTGAGAAACTGGTAACCAAAGGTGGCGTCAGCTCGAGGCAAAGTGGACAGCGAGCCGAATGACACTGTTCCGGAATTCTTGTAGCTGAGTATAAACTCAACGACCTTTTTGAGAACAAAGAACATCTCGCCGTCAGGCATCTTTTCATTTAGTTCAAGGTGGAAGAAGTTCGATTGACGGCTGATGATGAGTGACAGATCTGAGGTAATGCTGTTTTCAGTAAAACTTTGAGTGTCTTCAGGCGCTCCCGGCTTTCTGCATGAGCCAAACATCTGACGGGCTACTTCGGGAGACTCTTTGAATAGCTTCCGTCGGTAACTCAAAACAGAAAGTATCGCCGCTGAGATGTACTCAAAGATGAAATTGGGAGGAAGCTTCATTACGGTTGAGTTTGGGTAAATGAAGGCTCCGTTTGAGAAAACTGGTAGTGGATTTCGATGCTGCAGCGCAATTTCTTTTATCCTCAAACTATTTTGTTGGGATAAAAACTCTGGGTGAAGCTCCATTTTCGCCTTCAAGGCAGCGTCTACATGCAAAAAAATACGATCATCAGCGGCCAGCTGCTCTAAAGTTGACGTAAAGTCCGCCTTTTCAGTGGGTGATGTGGTTTCAAAAAGAGTGGATAGCTGGTGCAAATGTTGGAGAACATTTTTAAACTGTGGCACTGGTTCTTCGGGCTCTTCTTGTGAAGCCTCAGTTGAAAAGACCCTTGAAGATCTCCCTTTTTTCTGCAATTGACTAGAATTACTATTGAGCACAGACAAAGGCCTTGACAAGGGCCCTCTTTTTCCCCTGCACAAGTCTTTTCCAAAACTGCTGCAAAATGGAGACAGTTTCCGGGTAATCCGCTGCATACTTGGTCAGCTGAAACTGAAACTCAAATTCAAAACATTGGCAGCGTGTGATCGTGCAAAATGGCAACTCGCATCGTGTAAACTGGTCGTTTTCTCCCCCTTTGACGAGCAAAATCGGCATCATTTGTGTTTTCTCGCCGGACTCGCCCGTTTTCATCAACACAGCAGGTGATAGGGCGTCTCATTTACCATCTCCCAGGCTTCTATTCCAGCCCAAAGTTTCCGCCGAGCAGTACTTTAACTTCAGTACCTTGTAAAGACGATTGATCACTTCATTGACGAGCAACACACCTGTCCGTCTGTCCACCCGCCCAGCACGTTGGCCAGCAAACATTCAGTGTACGCACCGCCCTTCCCCACTCAACGTGCTTCCGTCTTGTTCTCTGGAGGAGAGTGCAGACCTTCCGCCGCCTTCAGATGGCACCGAACCGCAGTAGCGCGCACAGCTCGCTCAATCCAGCGGAGGTGCCCACTGCCAATGGATCGGCTGCTGCTGCTGCCTCTGAGGAGCGAGACATTTGGTCTTCGATTCTGCAACAAGTGCAAAAGACCGCCACCAACAAGCTTCCCTCGAACAAGTCCATTCTGGTGCTGGGAGACAATGACTCGGGGAAGACGTCGCTCATCGCGAAGATGCAGGGCATGGACACCACCTGCAAGGGCAGCGGCCTGGAGTACCACTACCTGATGGTGCGGGATGAGTACCTCGACGAGCGGACGCAGTGCGGCGTGTGGATTCTCGACGGGAACTACCAGTGGAAGCGGGACCTGCTCAAGTTTGCCCTCAATGCGGAGAACTTCGCCGACACGACCATCCTCCTGCTGGTGTCGATGACCAAGCCGTGGGACATCATGAACTCACTGCAGCACTGGGTGGAAGTGCTTGAGGCGCACATCAAGTCGCTCAATCTCGACCCGAAGGTCCTGGAGAACTTTAGAGAGCAGAGTAAGTTTTTTTGCATTGTTTTCTCACCGAAATATGAACACTTTATTCCTACCATGATGAGACATTCTCTTGCTACAGACCTCGTCTTACAAAAGCTCTCGGGCTTTTGGATGATTTTATCCTTTTACTGAATTTTGTTAGAAGTGATAGATCTTACAGCCTTTTATTACAGCTCAAAATTTTCTAACCCGACTCTACTTTTGCCTTCCTTTAGACCGACGACGCTTTCAAGACTACATCTCTCCTGGTGATGAGATTGAAGGGCTCACCTCGTCGATCCACCGAAACCGATCTCACTCCTACTCGGGCGACTCACCCACTGAACCGGAACGAGATCCACTGCCGGAGAATGTGCTGTGCAATAACCTGGGACTGGACATTGTCGTGGCAGTGGCCAAGACGGACTACATGTCTACGCTGGAGAAGGAGTACGACTACAAGGAGGAGCACTTTGACTTTATCCAGCAGGCAATTCGCAAGTTTTGTCTCAATTGTAAGTACCCGATACTCAATGAAAAGTGCTTTTAGGAATCACGCCTGCTTTAGTGATGAATTAAATACACAGACCTGTCATGAGAGATCCTATGAATTGAGCTGTATTTCTGAGCCTATTAGATGTCACTTCTATTGTAGCTTTTTGTTTTCCAAACTGATTTTCTAACCAATTTCTTTGCTTTGTTTTTCAGACGGTGCAGCACTTGTGTACGTGTCTGTGAAGATTAGCAAAAACTGTGAAGTGCTCTTCAAATACCTGGTGCACCGGATCTACGGTCTGCAGTTCAAGACGCCGGCGCTGGTCGTCGAGAAGGACGCCGTCTTTATACCCTCTGGCTGGGACAATGAGAAGAAGATTGCCATTCTCTACGAGAACATACAGTCCTTCAGTCCGGATGACGACTTTAACGACATCATCACCGTTCCTGTGAATGCTAATGTAGGTGTTTTTAATAAGCAGCAAAATTAAATTGTTATTAACTTTTTCTTTTTCACAGCCGGCTCAAAAGGAAATTGAGATTGTCGCCGATGAAGACCAAATTTTCCTGATGAAGCTGAAGGGTCAGTTGGCCCAAAATGAACCTTCCAATACCAATACGGTAAGTGGCAAGCATTTTCTCTATTTGACTTTGAGAGCTAGCAAAATTTAACTGATGAAACTATACAGACCTGTGATTACCGGAGTCAAAAAGGCTGCCGGGATGATTACACAAATCTTTCTGACGCTTTCAAAGCTTTCGCTGTAGACATTTTGTGTCGAATTTTGATTTCAATGACTAATGAATGTTTTGTTTCCTTTTTGTCACTGCTTACTACAGCCTTCCCGACCACTCGCCTCAACGCCTCAGTCTTCCAGCAAAGACCGCCGCTCGACGACCTCGGCAAACAGTCCAGCGACGCCGCTGATGGACGGCGGCAAGGCTGGAACGCAAGGTGGCGAGGGTGTCCTGCAGAACTTCTTTAACCAGCTGCTGAATCGCAAGTCAGTCTCGGGAAGCGGTGGAGCAGGTGGTGGTGGTGGTGCAGGCGGCGGTGGACCGGGCGGTGTCGGACCAAGTGGAACGCCCGGTGCGTCACCTCGAACGCCGGCCACGGGCGGCTCGGCGACGGCAGCGGCGGCCGCTGCGGCGACCACCTCTGCGCAGCAGCTTGGCACTGAATATGTGCAGGCGGAGCTGGATCGAATCCTCGAGGGAAACAAATCGTCGTCCAGTGGTGCTGGTGGACAGCAGGAATAGACACTAACTTTATACGATTCAGTAAAGACAGCCCTTTATTTATTTTCCCTACCAATCAATAGCTGCCTACATGTGCGAGTGCATGTCCTCAATGTAGCTGTCCAGTTTGCCCAGTCGCCAGAGAATGTACATCTTGATGTCGTTGTGCTTCACCAGCAGTATCATCGCACTGGTCACCTGTCCCACCGAGGCAAAGACCTGCGTCAGGCCGACGATCTGCGTGTCGTAGTAGCGGAAGCTGTTGATGATGCTGTCTGCGGTGCTCAACTGACCTCCAGTGCTGCTATTGCTTCCGTTGTGGGCCTGATGAGGCTGAGGGTGATGAGTGTCCCTGACCACCACCTCATCGTCGTACATGTGCAGCTGTCCGGCGTAGGTCAGTCCGCAGGAGGCGGTGCTGAAGCCGACGACGGCGAGGGAGAAGTTGAGCGCCGCGAGGAGGAGGTAGAGGCCGATGGCGCCATTCAGCAGGTTTATCTTCCAGTGCCAGTCGACGCTGTACTTGGCGTAGATCAGCCCCCCAGTGGTGACCACGGCGACGATGATGTTGAGGACGGACAGCGCGAAGGAAGTGTCTAGCAGACTGCCGTTGAGGGCGTGGCAGGGGGAGGGCAGCAGCAGGGAGAGCAGGTACAGACCGGTGATCGACCAGAGAATGGGCACGAAGATGCTGACAGAGGAGGTGGTGGTGAGAAGTGTTCGAAATGGTGTGGGCTCAAGCCAGCCTGATGACTCACCTGATGAGGAACTCAATGTCCAGCGACCAGTACTCGTGGCGGACGTACTCGTCCACCTGGGCAAAGAGGTACTGCCGCGAGCAGACGGCGGGGTAGGCAGAGGCGCCGCCCAGAATGCCACCTCCTCCTCCTTCGCCCACTTTACCGCCATTCACCGATCCTTGTTCGGCTATTCGCAGAGCACTCTTCTCGTTCTTCAAAAAGAGGCCCAGGTTGAAGTCGGTGGACACGCGAAAGGGCATCATACTGCCGCCTTTGTTCACGGGAGCGCCGCCGAATGGGGAGGACATTGAGATGCTGACAATTTAACGAGGTTTAGTCAACACAAAGAGGATTCACTGGCTATTGGCAAACGCTGCCTAAGGCTGATGAGCCACGAGCAGGCTGAAAACGTCGAACTTTTATTCAACTTTCAAATAAGCGACAACAAACAGTGAAATAGTAGAACTTTATTTGAACTGTAGCAGTGTTTCTGGAATATGGTGGCAACACCGGGAATCACACAACATCTACACTCTATCGACGCGAGTTGTTGGTCAAGTTGAGGAGCAGGTTCCAGACGAATTCTAGTGGAATGGATTTAACAACAACAAGTTAACTTTACTGGCTGACTAACTAGCGAAAACAGAGACTACTTACGAACAGAGTTGCCAGCTGACGGCAGCTTGGTCGGCGGCTTGGGGGTGGACTTGACCGGGGGACGGGGCTTGGGCGAGGTGCTGCCCTTGCCGCCGGGACCTTTGGGGCTGCTCGGCCGACGACTGGTAGACAACGGCTTCCTGGAAGTGGCTCTCTTCGAAGTGGGTGGACGCCGTGTGGTCGAGGGACCGTTGCGTCTGGTAGTGCTCGGCTTTCGAGAAGTGGCCTTTTTGGTGGTCTTTGCTGCTCGAACTTCACGATGCAACAGTTGGGTTTCGCCATCATCGGCGGTTTTAAAGTGCTC